GAGGGTGAGAGTGAGAGAGAAAGGAAGTGAGAAAGCAAGCCACCAGATTCAGGACTCGAACCCTGGTTGGCCATGTGGGAGTGTCCAGCGCCTTAACCACTACGCCACCTGCTGGTCCCCAGACATGGACTTTTAAATAACTATGATTAATAATAAGAGGGAATTTTGGCAGAAAGCAAAACAAGAAAATTGAAATTTAGAGCTGAAAATATAATTGAAATGAAGAAGTTCCGAGTTCAATAGCAGAATCAACAAAACTGAACAGATAAATTAGTAAACTTGAAATCAGGTCAAAAGAATACATACAAATCAAAGCAGAGTGAACTGAAGTATGGAAATGTACACATTCATGGTGAAAAATTATAGTACAGTATTTATACATGACCTCAGTTATGTTAAGAATGGCAGATTTCGAGAGGTAACATTTTTGGTATATTTTAGTCATTTTATATATATTTTTGCATTTCTCAAATTTTCTTAAATTAGCATGCATTATGTATGCATTAGTATGTATTATGAAAAAAAGGTTTAATTTCCTTTCCCTCCTCAGATTAATCTGTGCTCACCATAGTATTTCTCAAAGTACATTTTAAGAAAATACTAGTTTCTTTGGCTAATAAATGTGTCAAGTAGGAAGGGTTCAGTTGTCTAACAAATATGGTAAATACTCTGTTAAGCAGAATTAGCATAGGTATCTTTCTTTTTTTAATTATTCATTTACTTACTTACATATTACTATTGGTAATAGTCTTTAATATACTATTTTGCATTGAAAAGCACAAGGACAAGTATTTCTGAGACTATTTGGGCAAGAAATATATTTATCACAGAATATTTCATAGAACCAGAGAGTCCCAGGTCTTGGAAACACTTGTCTGGAGGGGGAAATGAATTAAGTCCTTTAACACATCATGCCAGGCTCTATCAGTTACATTTCTTTCCTGCCTGGGTTTTACTGCCAATTCTACATCACTTCCATGTCTCTGTCCTCTTACTATCCTGTGTCTTCCGTCTGAAATGCCTGCCACCCAGCGACCCTAAAGTTTTTAAATTTAATTTAATTTATTATTATCATAATCTTGTTTATATTACATTGAATCACATTTATCTTCTTTTTTTTTCTTTTTGGAGAGGTGTTTGCTATAGGGCACATGCACTTGCCAGAGAGACAGAGAGAGACAGAGAGATATAGAGAGACAGAAAGCAAGAAATCACCCCCCAGGAGAGATGGCCACACCTCAATCCCTTCTCCTCCATTCTCCTCTCAGAGATCTTGGGCACACGTGCACACGCACCTGGTGTGAGTTTAAGCCACCGGGTCCAGGACTCAAACTGTGGTCAACAACATGGGAGTCCAATGACATAGCCATTACACTAACTGCTGGTCCCGAATCACAAATATCTTTACAGTGTATTACATTTCTTTTTCCAGCAGAAGTACCAGGCATATCAGTTAAGACAAAGCAGGAATAACATACATATAAGTCAAGACAAAGACATTACTATCCACAGTCTCATCATCAAATAGCTTTTTGTTTTTTCAGATTATTATTATTATTATCATTACTTGTTAAACATTCAATCATTATATATCTTTTTAAAAAATCTTATTTATTTACTTATTTTTAATTTGACCAGAGAGAGAGAGGGAAATGAGAAAGCAAACTGCCAGGTCCAGGACTTGAGCCATGGTCGGCTTTGTGAGAGCCCAGTGCCTCAACCGCTACACCACCTGCTGGCCCCAGACTTTTTCTAAATTATAAAACTTCCACTTGTGCTACCAAATGCCTGGATGAAACAGCTTCATCTGGCAAGTCTGGCCCACCTCCTTGCCACTCCCTCAGAACTTTGAGCATACCTCCAATAGCACACTTAGCACCTGTGCCATCTTTGTCTTAGTACTTGTCTCTTCCCTGCTAGACTGGGACTTAGATTGTTCACATCTACATCCCCAGGCCTGAATGTGGGTCAGGCAGGCCATGGAGTGGGTCACAGTGAATGTTGATGAATGCTAAAAACAATGGAGACAGATTGTAAAAATTTTAGAAAGGGCTAGCTGATGTAGTGGTGGATAAGGCAGCTGAATCTCACATGGCCAACTGCACATTTTGAATCCTGGACTCAGGGCCTGAAAAACACACTGTGTGTGTGTGTGTGTGTGTGTGTGCCCAAAAAACCTCAAGAGGAGGATGAAGAAGAAGGGATTACGGTGCAGCCATTCCACAACACCCTTACATCCCCTACCCCAGGGAGTGTCTTCTCACTTTCCTCCTCTCTCTTTCTGTCTCTCTCTGGCAAGCACACATGCCCTATAGCAAATTTTAAAAAAGAAATAGAAAAAATATTTTTTTTTAGAGAGTAAAGTATGGCCAAGAATAAAAGTCATGTATTATTTTACTCTCTAGTGATATCCTCTATTAAAATGTTAGTATTAATCTTTTCAGGATTTATAGAACTTAGATTAATTTCATATACAATCTTATATCTTAATTTTTTCTATCTAACATTATATCACACTTTTCAATGACAGCTAATATTACTTCAAGTTTGATGCATAATTTTGGTTGCATTTTATATATATATTTATTTAATATATTTTAATTTCTTTTATACTGTACATCACTTAGCTTGTAAAGTGAATTTCCAATATAAAGACATTTTGCATCAGTCCAGTTGGGGATACTGTACATATTATCATCAACAGATAATAATCCGTTTGTGTGTTCCATAAATGTCTTGCCTCTATTTTTCTCCTTAATGTCTTCCCTAACACTCCTCCTTCTCCCACCCTCTTACCACACTGTATCTGTTATCTATACCCATTTTCGATGTTTCTATATCCTCTAATCTTTCAGTTTCAGCCATAAAGCACCAACAGTAAGTGTACATTATTAAGTGGGGACATACAATGTTTCTCCTTTATCATTTTTATAGCTATTTCCAATAATCCTTTAATGGGACACCTTGTACACATAACATGGTTTGCATATTTGACTTTTTTCCTTAGGAAGAGCCTTAGTGGTGAAATCTCTAGACCCAAGTATATGAACATTGTAGAGGTTCAGATATATATTTTTACATGCTTTCCATTTGTTGATATTTTTATTAAACAAATTACTGCATATAGCATTCTTAAAGCTGTATTTAGCATACAAGTATCCAATAAATAGAACTGTAATAATTAGTATTTTTACTATTTATTAACAAATATGTTGAGTAGCTACAATGTGAAAGGCACTGCTCTAGGAAGGTAGAGACAATAATTTATTATTTTTAGCAGTGAATGTGGGTGGTGGTCTCACTGCATCCTTATCTGCATTGGGTATCATTATTTTTCTTGCTTTGCTAGTTTTATTGTTGAAAATTATATTCTGTTGGTTCAATTCATGTTTATTAATAATAAAAGCAATGTTTTCCATATGGTTACAGTTAAACCACAGCACTGAATTCTTTTTTTTAATCTTCTTTCTCTTTTGAAAAAGGAAGTGCTATAATTTTTTGGATTTTGCTACCCCTAATTCATCTTTTGTCCACTTCCCATCACCATCTTCCCTCTCTGGTTGTTTGTGTGGGGTGTTCATTCCTGCACCCAGATTTTTTGAAGGCCAATATGTGGAAAACATGGTGCTAGGTCCTGAAGATACAGCAGTAAGCTTAACTGTCATGTTGCCTGCCTGGTGAAACTTGATGTCTAGCATAGAAGCAAGATGTTGAACCATGTCCCATTATTACTGTGATAGAAGTACAGGATGCTTTGGAAGGCTAACTCATCTTCTCCTCTTTGGGGCTTAAGAAAAATCCTCTTTGAGAAGTTATAGTTTAAGCCAAGAACTGATGAGTGAATAGGCGTTAACAGCCTATAGGGACAGAGTGGAGGTGGAGTGGGGTTAAGGGTGAGAAGAGAACAGCATATACAGAAGCCCTCCTTTCGGAAAGATATTCAAGGCAATGGCAGAAATCTAGTTTATATGGAGTAGAGGATGAAGAACAGAGTCTCCTGAGTTGAGTCTGGGAAGGTCAGTGGGAACAGGTAGCACCTGGAGGCAGGTTTTCTCAATTGTCTGCAGTCTACACATCTGTAATTTCTTCTTCCTATTGGGCTAGGAATCCTCCAATGTCAGTCCCCTTGTGTTTCTCTCCAGCTTACCTAACACCATGAGGGTGATTTAGAGGACAGTGATCCTTTCTCAAGATTCAGCCCCAGAATCTGTTCTCTTTGTCTCAATAAAAGATTTTAGGGTCAGCGAATGGTGCGGTGTTAGGACGATGAGTCTCACATGACTGATTAAGTGGTTCAAGTCTCCAACTTGGTGGCTTGAAAAACATTCTGGGCATGTGCACATGCATGCCCAAAATACTGAAAGAAAGGAAAAAATGGAGGAAAAGGGATTACAGAGTGGCTTTCTCCCATGGGGGAAGAGAGTGATTTTTTACTTCCCCTCTCTCTGCCTCTTTTTGGCAAGTGCAATAAAAAAAGAAGAAAAAAATTTAGACCTAGTTGCCTAATGGCTAAGGCAGCAGGATCTCACATGGCTAACTACACAGTTCAAGTCCTGGGCCTGGTGGCTTGAAAAACACACTGAGTATGTGTGCCTGCATGTCCAAAATTCTGAAAGGAGGGAGAAATGGAGGATAAGAGATTGTGACATGACCATGTCCCATTCAGGGGGATGCTTTCTTGCTTTCCCTCTGTCTCTCTTCAGCAAATACCCTCTGGCAAAATTTTTAAACAATGATTTTTGAAACTACCCTCTTTTATTAAACACTGAGCGTCTATAACAAAAGGGAATTGGAGAACTGCTGTGCCTGGAAGATATTTCGTAGTGTCTGTTCTGTCAGCCAGAGGGTGGGCTGACCCCCCAAGGACCTGCATAGAGTTGAGATCAGAGGTTGAGGGAGAGGATGTACTTGTGCTTCTGAGTCATGTGGATGAGTGTTTAGTGCAGTGACTGTGCACCATGAGTCTCATCTCTCTGTCTCCCAGCTTTCCTTTCCGGGACTCACTCTGGGGCCCTCCCCACGCCTATCACCTTGAGGAAAGCCCTCTTCACATCCTTGTTCCGTAGACTGTAGATTATGGGGTTGAGGAAAGCAGAGATGACATTGTAGAACAGGGCCAACTTCTTGTCGTCTTCTGGAGAGGACTTAGAGCCAGGCTTCATGTACATGACCATGGCTGGCACACAGAACATGGTGACCACAGTGATATGGGAGGCACAGGTGGAGAAGGCCTTCATTTGCCCCTGAGCTGAACGGATCTTCAAGATGGCAATGAAGATGTTGATATAGATGATGAGGATGAGTGACAGTGGGATGAGAATTACACTAAAACCGAGAATGAAGTCTACCCGGTCATTGACTGAGGTATCTGCACAAGCCAGCTTTAAGACTGCAGGGACTTCACAAAAAAAGTGGTTTATCTTGTTGGGACCACAGTAGGGCAGACGCATGGCAAAGATGGTGTAGACAAAAGCAGAGGTAACACCCCAGAGTCCACAGAAAATGACCATTACCCCACATAGCCTTGGGCTCATGATGACCTTGTATCTAAGAGGGTGGCAGATGGCCACATACCTGTCTATAGACATAATGGCAAAGAGCCAGGACTCAGTGATGCCTAGAACCAAGAAAATATACATTTGGGCCACACAGCTGGTGAAAGAGATGGTCTTCTTCTGACTGGCCAGATGTGCCAGCATCTGGGGAACGGTTGTAGTGGTGTATCCCAGGTCCAACATAGAAAGGGTGCCAATGAAGAAGTACATGGGAGTGTGGAGGTGTGAGTCCAGGCAGATGAGGACAGTGATCAAGCTGTTGCCCAGAATAATCAACAGGTAGATCATTAGAAATGCCAAGAAGAGCAGAGGAGTAGTTCCAGGGCTAATGGAAAAGCCCAGAAGAATGAATTCAGTCACAGAGGACTGGTTGGGTTCTTGCATCGTGTCTTTCTCTCAATGAAAAAGAAAGACAATTATTCAGACAAGGACTAGCCAAATTATGCACTAGAGCTGAGTTTATTCATGGGACTGGGTAGGATTGGTGTCCATCGCCCAACTATAATGAAACACCATGATACCCCTCCTCCAATATGACAGCCCATTTGGACTGTTTTTGACCACTGTCCCCATCCCTAGGAAAATTATCAAGAAGAGAGCTTCATGTCTAGTTCTGTCTCTGCCTCTAACCCCCCATCTCAGCTTCAGTTTCTTTAGTGGCAAAAAGAAAATATTGGGCTAGGTGAGTTTCAGTTGTCCCAGCATTCCCCTCTCCTTAGTAAGGCATTTAAGTTTCCTTCAGGTAGCAAGGTGTCTGGAGGTGAATATTAGTGTACAGACTCCATGCAAGTTGGCAAATTTCAGAGGCTTGAAGTGGCGAGAAAGCCCATTTGGTCCTTTTGAAGACTTCAATTAATTTTCCACTTCAGTTTTACCCTCAGTCTGTCAACAGGTCAGAACAGTTCTCTAACTATCCATCACCCCATCTCAGGCCTCAGTGTATTAAAAGGAACACTGGTTTCTGAATCCAGTTAGCATAATTCACTGAGTAAATGACCCTGAGCAAGCCATTTGGCCTTTCCTCTGCCCTGTTGAGGTTGCTTCCATAAGTACAAAATGAGAATCATTTTTTTTCTTTTTGAAATAGGTTTGCTGGAAGGGTTGGATGATATTTTGCCTTGAAAAATCACCCTACAGAAGGCTTAATGTGGTAGATGCTCAATAAATGTTAACTGCATTTCTTTTCTTTCTTTCTTTCTTTCTTTCTTTCTTTCTTTCTTTCTTTCTTTCTTTCTTTCTTTCTTTTCTTTTCTTTTTTTTTTTTAAGAGATTTTTTTCTATAGGGCGCGTGCTCTTGCCAGAATGACAGAGAGAGACAGAGAGACAGAAAGTGAGAAATCACTCCCCCCAGTGGGGGATGGCCATGCCACAATCTCTTCTCCTCCATTCTCCTCTTGGGGTCTTGAGCAAGCACGCACGTGCTCCTGGAGTGAATTTAAGCCAGCAGGTCCGGGACTCGAACCATGGTTGACTACATGGGAGTCCAGCGACATAGCCATTATGCCAGTTGCTGGTCCTAATAAATGTTAACAGTATTTCTGCCAGCTCTCCATACAAAGGGTAAGATTCAAGTCCAAACTATGCAAATGAACCTCCGGAGAAGTCATTCTATCATACTTAATGCCCACGGTTTTCACTTCCCCGGGATGTCTGCCTTTTGTTCTTTCTCCTCACAAAAGCCAGAATCTCAGTCATTCTCTTAGCTTCTTATTGACTCTTAACTCTGTTTCAGCCTCCCTGACTCCCAGTTTCATCATGGGAACAGGGAAAGAACAGCTTCTAGGAAGAGATGCCATGTATGTCATCAGCACTTTAGAAATGAGTAATCCTGATATTGTCAGTGTAACCTCTTCTCCTGACACCACCAATTTATCTGACCCCAAACTACACATTCTGCAGTCTGCTGGGTTTCCTTTTGAACACCATGCCGAGTCCCCAGAAGACCCTGAGTCTACATTCAACACATGATTGCTTGCCTTTGACCAAAATAACTGCACACATTGGAACCTATTATGTGCTAAGCACCTTTCCAGAGCCTTCACAGATGTTACCTGATAGCTGTCAGAAAGACAGCTGACCAGAGTGATCTTCCAGACGCAGACAACTGTTTTATTAAACCCCTACCTTTCAACAAAGCCTTTCTAGGTCACATGTGTCCTTGGGTTGGCCTCAGTTTCTTCATCTACACAAAAGATCAGGTGCTTGGGTCACATGGTCTTAAAGAGAGAGATACCACAGGGCAGGGAGGAGAAGATGTGGCATTTAAAGAAAGCTGACTCTGGATTTACTCACTATGGGACTTGGGCTGTTAGCCCATTTCTCTAGACCTCAGTTGACTCAGTTGTAAATAGGAATGAGGAAATCTACTTTGCAAGACAAGTTCCTTCTAGGAAGAAGCAGCCAAAAGATGACTAACTATAGTACTTTGGGATATAGAGTGGGAAATTGTGCTACCATATCTCACTGTCCACCTTTCATACAGAGCCAACGAACGGGCTATTTTTTTCTTTTCCCAATCTAGTGTTTAAGAGTGTTTAACCTGGTTGAGCTGTGAGGCCAAACTGGTCAATTGAGATAATTGTCTATAAACCAGGCAAGTGTGCCCACAGATGTTGTTCTTGGGCTAGAAATTCTAGACCCTGAGCTCCCCATTTCCACTCCTGGACTCTCCCAATGGGAGAGTCAACCTCTACGAAGCTGCCTGGCTCTCAGGCATAGGAAGTAGATATCCCATGTGAGAAGAACAAAGAACAATGTCATTGTATCTGCTAGGGTGAGCCTGGCTTCTGTCTCCATTTGGCCCAAAAATAAAGAATTCAGCTTTGGGCTCTGCTTTACTAATGCTTTAGCATCCACTCCCTCATGATGGCTCTAGGAAAGCCTAAGATAGGGATCGTTATCATCACCTCACAGATAGGAAACTAAGGCCTGGAGAGGAAACGTGTGGGAGAAATGGAATATCATGCAATCCTCAACAGCAATAGGGCTTCCTATGTGTAGCTAAACCATAGCTAACCAGAACTAGTCCATCCGAGCCCTCAATGTACTGAAATATTGTGTGTCCTTGATTCTTGGGAGGGAAAGGCAAATCATGAGGACAAAGAATCTTGTGTTGAGTTTAGCTTCATTATATCTATCTATGCATATACAGTAGATGTGCATACGTATGCATGCACACATAGTAATGGATGGCTTCTGGAAGATCACTCCAGGCAGACCAGTCAGAAACTTGGGAAAACCCTCTCAGCTCCTGCCTCATCCCTCTACATTGTTTTTATCCACACTTTTCTGGCCCATCCAACTCTCTCCATTCCCATTGTCAATGTCCAGTTCAGATACTTGGCATATCTCTCTTACCTGCTGGATCCCTGCCCAGCCCACAGTCTGCTCTAACCTTCAGAATGCTCTTTCTCAGAGATCTGACTGGGCCATTCCTTCACAGCATCGTTGCTTATGGGAAAAAGTTTAAGAAAGGTGAACCACACACACACATACACAAAAGTTGAACCAATACTCTGGCTTTGCCTTTAAAGCCAGTTTTGTCTTCAGGCCCCAAGGCTAGTTGGCGGTTTTAACACTGTAGAGAAAGAGATCTTCAGCAGCTGCTGCTAGGGCTGGCACAGAAAGCATCCCAGCAGCCCAGGAGGCCACTTCCAGGCAGGAGATGTGGAGACGGGTTTGCAGGTGAAGGAGACTAAGCCCTAGTCACATGGGAACTGGTGGCAGAGTTAGGATTAGGACCTGGAATTTATCACTGCCAGCTGGTCCATCCCTTAGACTCTGTCCTAGTCCAAGGCCAGTTCTAGCTAACTTATTAACTGTGTGGGTCAGAACCATCCCCACTGAACAGCTTCACTCTGTGTATATGACTTTGTTGTTTCCCGCTGTCACCCCTTCATTTAATACAGAGCCTGGCACTTCATGAGACCCTGTAAATGCTCACAGTGTGATCCATGTGACTCTGAAAAGCCAGAGGCAAAGAGAAAAGAGTGATTACCCTCTCTCCCTCACTGCACTTTACCCTCGTATTCTCCAAGGTTCAAGAAAAAAAATCCCAAAACCCAAAAAACACCTGTGTCTGGAGGTTGCAAGCCCCTCAGCAGAGACAAAGGCACAGGTGTATTAAAAGGAGGGCGGAGAGAGTTAGCACTAAATGTTATGAATCTTTCTACTATTTCTCTCAACTTCTGTCTCAGCCTATGAATAACAGTAATTCTAAAAATAGCAGCTTCCTATATGCCAGGCACTGTAATGTTGTTTTGTTTTATCCCCATAACTGGGAGATGGTTGAAAGATGTAGCAATGAATACAAGCAATCGGCGATCAGAATGGATGCCTGGAGCAGGAAGTAGGTAAAGCTGTAGCAGGCTACGAGTGAACAGCTATCCTGCACACAGCTACCCTGTGAGGTGGGTACAGCTACTCCACTGATGTACAGGTAAGGAAGGAGCTGACATGCCTTGCCCAGGGATGCTGGAGCTGAGGCAGAGTCTGTGCTCAACTGAGCATCTGTGGCAACAGGGTGGTTGGGCAAACCTAACTGGAGACAGGACCTCTCTCCCTCATCCCTCACTTGCTCCCTCATTTCCTGTCTTCTCCAGAGCAGATGCTGAATGGGAGGGAGCAGGAGAAGCAGATGTCATGGCAGAAAAGCAGGGCAAGTGAAGCTGGGCATACAGCTGATTGTGCCAACCAGATTCGGGGAGGGGACAATGGCAGGCTTGTTCTTAAGGCTGCTGGTGCTGCCTTGGGCTCAGGCCATGTGCCCCCTCCCTGTATCTGTGGTTCCATTGCTGCCTTCCTCTCCCATACCCTGTCCTCCTTGTCCCCAATGACATGCATGAGGGGATAAGCATCCTGTTGGAGGGTCAGAGGCCAGGCAGGTGGTGCTAGAGTTAATGCTTCCTTTTCCTGCCATGCCCAGACAACCCCAGGAATCCCTCATGCTTTCTAGAAGAGGAGAGAGGGCTGGTTCAGATGTGTAAAAAGTAAGGGGGAGTATTGCTCTTTGAGAGAATTAAGGGATAGGTGGGGTGAGCCATGGGAGCCTGGCATGATCCAGAGAATCACAGGAGACAAAAAGAGCATGTGTGAGGGGGTGCTGAGGTGGCAGTTCCTGCCCAAGGACAGCCAACATGGACCAGGGTACAGGCCAGAGACCCAAACCAGAGATACAAAGGCCAAGTCAGCCAGAACCCAAATGGACAGAGGGAGACAGAAGATCCAAGGCAGGAAAGAGCTTCTATAGACTGTGAAGAGAAAGAAGATTATGCCCTTCAGGGCATAATCAGAGGTCAGAGATGAGCCTGGAGCTTGGCCCCAGTGAGCAAGCACTGGCCCTCAGGATCTCCTGGCTGCCATCCTCACATGGCCCTCCTGTAGGAGCACAGTGCAACCTCCCTGAGCACCATAGGTAGAAGCTGCCTATGGGGAAAGATGCAGCTCCAGCCCCCCTAAACCTGGTCTTGCCCTCTCAGCTAAGGCAGGCAATCCCAGTCCTCCACAGAGCCTCTGTGTCTGGGAAGGGTCTAGACCACAGAGGCTGAGGTTGACCACAGAGACTGGGGTTGAGCATTTGCTATGGGTGACAGGCCCCTCCCCAAGCCCTCTGTGACACCCCACTGATCTGCCCTGGACAATTCAGAGATTCACTAAAGCTTGGGACCAGAAGCAGGCCTGGATATTCCAGCTCCACCTTGGGTTCCCCTCCTCTCTGTAGCCTCCCTGGCAGGGGATGCTCCAACTGTTGTCTACACACCCTAAGGACAGGAGGCTCATGATCCTCTAGGCAGCCCAGCTAGCTTTGACTCTGCCCTTCTTAGAATACTTTTTCCTCTCCTGAACTTAAAACAAATGCTCATTCATTCTGATATAGAGATAGGAATTAGACCCAAGGAGTAGGCAAATAGAGCAAAGACCCTGGAGGAAGAGTCACTACGATAGGAAATGGATACACACATATATTAAGATATAACTAACGTATAAAATGGAGTCACTCTGGTCAAGCTTTTGCAAAGGGGTAGTTCACTGCTCTCACTAAAAATCAAGTATTAGCTCTGACTGCTTGCTCACACAGAAAACTGCTTATAACCAGAGCTGCTTTACAGTTTGCATGATAAATCACAGCTTATTAGGAAATACAACTAGATCCTCTTTAAAAATTCCTTCCTCTCATCTTTCCCACCTGGCTCTTGGCACCAGGATGGTTGTTATCTTCCTTCCTGCCACCTCAGATATAAACAAAAAATTCACCACTGGGAAGGGACACTAAGTTCAGGCAGCGCATCCAGATATGGATGCTCATTCCTTCAAAGACCACCCTGGGCATGTGTGGTGAGATCATTAAGTTCCTCACCTGAGAGAGATGCACAAGCACAGGAAAACACCCGCAAAACCCAAGAGGCCAGGTAGTGGCAGACCTTCCCATTCTAAATATGCATTACTAGCCCTCAGGATAGAAGTAACATCTAGCCTCATGGGGAAGGTGGGGAGACATGGGAAGGATGACAAACTGGGGTCACCCAAGTCTCCTGTGGGAGCTGCCATCCTTCAGGCATGCCCTTCAGGCATGGGGTGTATTTCCTTCTGATTAGAAATCTTTCTATTCAAACCTCCTTTCCTACTTAACATGTGTTTGTGATGTTTCATTCTGCATCTCAGGACAGGTCTCTAATCTTAGTGATCTGGACCTAAAGAACTGGGGATTTCACATAACAGGGCTTAACTCCCCTATAGCAGCACTCCCTGCAGGCATCTCCCTCCCTCAAGCTCCTTTTGAACAGCACTAAGCTTGTCAATGAGCTGGCATTTCTCCTCAATATGATAGCCAGTCTTTCTGCAAGCAACTTCCCTCTTCTCACACAAAGTCAGCTTCTCAAAGACTGAACAAATCTACATAAAAACAAGAAACCCAAACAAATCTCCTCCAGCACAGATAAAAACCCCTTGCCTCAGTTTTCCATTGGCAACCCATTTTCTAGGACCTAATACCTGCCTGAGAGCTCTGATCTTCTTTCCTGTCTTAACCTCCCCACTTACTATTCCTTCTTTGTGCCTACATCTTTATTTCTTCATGAGTGGGAGACAATGATTTGAGTTCACTGCTGTTCCTGCATTGAGTATGGGTCCCATAAAACCCAACTTCCTGCCTCATAATTTTCCTGCATCTGGGCCCACACACTCCAACTCTCTGCATCATAATTTTCCTGCATCATAATTGGTGTTTCTGCTCTGTTATAATTCAACAGAAGGGTAAGTAAAACAGACTTTCCCTCCTCTTTTTTGGGGGGACACTCTCATTCCTAGAACCTAGCTCTATTAGACACAATATAATTTCCCTGCATCAATATCAATGATGAATTCTCTAAAGTTCTTTAAAACACCTCCTCCCCTTTCTCTGCACCTTCACCTTCTCACTACTAGCTATCCCCATCTGCCCCCCCGCCCCCCAGAATCTCCACTCTGCATTAAGATGCATTAGTCCTTACCTGCCCTTACCTGTCCTTAGCAGGGTCTGAGGAGCTGACTGGGTCTCCTCTTGATAAGCTCTTCTTCTCCTGCTCCCACCAATAATCCCCAAGCCAGGTCCTTGTCTCCACCCAACATTTTGAATGCCACACAGCAGCCCCAGCAGACACTTCCAGTGACAGCCACAGGGATCACCCAACCCTCTGCTCAGCAGCTAAGGGCTCTGAAGGATAACCTCTGGGGAAGCACCTGGTGACATAGAAGACCTAGGGATTCGTAGTCAGACAGGCTGGGTCACTGTGGCCTATGTGAGACAGGTAGCTTTCCTGAACCCTGGCTACTTCCACAAAATGGTACTCCGCTCCCCACATCATAACCTCATAATCATACCACTATTTTGTTTTGTTTTGAGTCATCATGAGCCAGGCATTTGACATAGGCTACATTTTTACAGCACTATCATCCCCATTTCCCAGATACTCAAGTGGCGACTAGGAGCCTTAGTTGGGAGAGATGGGGATATGGGGTTATGAAAGTAGCTTCTTCTGACCACACAGACTCTGCTTCTAACTAGCACCCACAGAGTGTCATGAGCTGGTGCAATCCAGACTAGGGGCAGGCAGCTATGAGGACCCTGGTGGGAAGGACAGAGTCACTTGTGGAAGTGTCTAGTTGCCTAGTGGACTCTGGATGCCAGGGCAGCAATTCTGGGGCAGTAGGTTCTTCTGGGACTTTTTGCTAAACGTATACTTTCCAGGAATCTAAAGGGAAAGGGGACCAATATTCACTGGACACTTCTGTGTATGAGGCACATTATATCTATCATTTCAACAAATTCTCAAACAAGTCAGTGAGAAAAGCATTTTATTTTCACTCTACAGGTGAGGACACTGAAGATCAGAGAGAGAAAATGACTTACCAGGGTCAAACAGCTGTTTGAGGTAGCTGAGATGCCAACTAGGTCTGACTGATTGTAAAGTGCTTCCACTGTACTATACTTGGGACATGGGACATGGGATATCTAGCCAGGAGTGAGGGCCTTCTCTCAGCTTTTCTGGTGCCTGGGTCACCAGCAGGATGACTCCCGCAAATTGGACCCCAGCCTTTCTAGAAATTGCAAGTTATTCCTGAGGTCTCTGCTTCAGCTACAAGGTGGTAGAGGGTGAGTGGGACCAAGAGCACAGAACCCTGGTTCTTGGTGCAGAGGTGGTTTCACTGTGGATTCCTTAATGCCCGGGATTATCCTTGCTACATTCTTACCTGTTTCTGAGTTACAAAACTAATCCATGTTCATTAAGAAAATGAATGAGGGGCCAGGTAGTGACACGGTGTTCCGTGAGGCTGACCCACATGGGGAGGTTCCTGGCTCATGTTCAGAGAACTCGGAATAAACCAGGACCATGTGTACCTATGACCGGGACTGGCTGAAGCTGTGCACGGATCATGGCATCAAGATCCTGTTGAGGGTGCCCTCTCTTACACGCTCTCCCTATTGCTCATGGAAAAAAATCAATAAATGTAAAAGAATAAAATTAATAAATGCAGAAAGGGAGAAAGAAGAAAAATATGGCCCTTGAGTTGCATATAGCAGAAAAAATTTCTGCTATGATCTCTTGCTGTTTCTAATTTTTTCTGAATGTCTGCATGTGTGTGGGCTCCCACCGGGTTAATATTACACTTTACATTCAATTGTATTGAGAGATGTTTCTTCCTCTTTTCTTGTCAGTAGAACCATGCTCTTGCTGACATTTGTTTTGCGCAGTCAATGCATCATGAATGTCCCATGCCCAGATGACAACCTCATTACTCCCTTTTCCAGAACTCCTTTCAGCATGGGAAGGTATGGTGCCTGGTCTTGTCCAGTGAGACTTAAGGGGAACTCTACTAAGGCATTTTTGTATAAATTTTGCTTTTTTAGCTGAAAGGATAGAGTGACTGTGGTACAAATTTTCTCCTCCAATTCCTTTTCTCTTACTATGAACATAGATATAATGTCTAGAGTTGGGCAAGCCATCTTGAATCTATAGGTAACAGACTCAGAGAATCATGGTGTCTCTCCTTAACATTATTCAACTGGGAACACACACAAGTAAGCACTAAACTCCAGATTTCATGTTACATAAAAAATTCTTATAAATCTAAACCATTATTAGTTTGGCCTTCTGCTTTGCTTTGTAAGGAAATTCTAATGGATTAAATATTGTGTCTTTTAAAAAATAGAAGCACACATTTAAGGGACACAAAAATGGAAAATAATCTGTTGATAATGTGTTTATGGTAATATCTTGACTGGACTAGTATACAGTGTATTCATAATGGGAAAATTTGTTTTGTATTCTGTAAAGACATAGTGATTTAATGAAAAAATATAAGAAAAAGAAAAGAAAGAAAAATATAAACATTTAAAGAAAATAATCAAATTTTTAAAAGTAATTATGGGGTCAGCAGGTGATATGGTGGCTAAGGTGCTGACCTCCCACATGGCCAACCACAGTTCAAGTCCTGGACCTGGAGGCTTACTTTCTCACTTTCCCTCTCTCTGTGTGTCTCTCTGTGATCAAATTAAAATAATTGAATAATTCTTTTAAAAAAGTAATTGTATATGATAAGCATTTTGCCATCTCCTCATGTAATTCACTGATTTAAAGCAAATCTTGTTATAATTTTCTTCATATTCACTTTGACTGAGATTTTTTGAACCTATGGGAATATAGTTTTAATCACATTCAGGAAAAAAGCAGTTGGCACAGGGCTGCCTGGCCCGTTATACATGTATCACATTTTATAATTGCCAGAGGGTGCCTACCTTTGCCAGACAGAGACAGAGGGAGAGGGAGAGGGAGAAAGCGTGCCTCAATGGCACATCATCATGGCACAATCCATTCTCCTCCATTTCTCCATCCTGTCAGGGTTATGGCCATGTACACACATGCAGCCAGCATGTTCATAAGGCGCACTAGGACCTAAGCCAATCAGCCATGTGGGATTCAGCTCCCTTAACCACTGGATGACAGGGCTGGCCCAATATATGCCATCTTCATAAACTTCTGTTAAAAGAAAAATAAGCCAGTCTATTTAATACAGTAGAGTCACTTTTTTTGTTTTGTTTTGTTCTGTTTTTTTGTTTGTTTGTTTGTTTTGAGAGGTTTTCGCTATAGGGCGCCAGACAGACAGAGACATAGAGACAGAAAGCGAGAAATCACCCCCTGGGGCGATGGCCACACCACAATCCCTTCTCCTCCATTCTCCTCTTGGAATCTTGAGCATGCACGCACAAGCACCCAGTGTGAGCTTAAGCCACAGGGTCCAGGAATCGAACCGTGGTTGACTACATGGGAGTCCAGTGACGTAGTTATTATGCCATCTGCTGGTCCCAATACAGTGGAGTTTTGTTTGTTTGTTTGTTTTGAGAGGTTTTCGCTATAGGGCGCCAGACAGACAGAGACATAGAGACAGAAAGCGAGAAATCACCCCCTGGGGCGATGGCCACACCACAATCCCTTCTCCTCCATTCTCCTCCTGGGATCTTGAGTACGCACGCACACGCACCCGGCCTGAGTTTTAAGCCACCAGGTCTGGGACGTGAACCACGGTCGACTACGTGGGAGTCCAGCAACATAGCCATTACGCTAACTGCTGGTTCCCCCGATACAGCAGAGTTTTAATAGAGCAAATCTTAACATAATTTAAATTGGGCAGTTGTCCCCAGACTTCTGGACAATTCCTGCCAGCCACATGATCAACTTGGCATTTAAGTCGGCAGTATAGGAAAGTGTCCTACAAAAAATCTAAGTGAAGGGGTAAGGTAGAGAAACCATCGGTTACATTCCAAAGTAAAGTAACCAATGCCTGTGGTTGTCTGAAGCCTAGCTGCAGTGATTGACTGTAACCTAGCAACCAGCTCAGAAAAAAACAGCCTAACATGTAGGATTTCTGCTTATTCATAGGAATCCAAGTGTGGGGGTTTAGTGGCTGATTTAGACCAAAATAGTTTAATTTAACAATTTTCCCCCTTTTAGTCAGCCTCTCAAATATTTGAGAGACTGACGAAAACTTAGGGCATTTGCGCTACTCTTTGTCCCCATCACAAATGACCGTTTTCTTGCTCTCAGCATGGAATCCACGGGTCACAATATCACACAAGTTGAACATGATGTCATACAGGTCAAACAGGTCTTCCTTCGCGCTTTTACGGATCTGACTGGAACAAGACCACTCAGCGTTCAATGTGTGGCTGCGTACTAAGCATTTAAGACTTGAGAGGAGAGAGCGCACCAGGAGGACTGATGTGATGACTAAGGTGTACCCCTTATCAAAAGTTCCTACAAAACAAGCCAAAATGAATGTAAACAGGTTAAGGTTCAGGCCACATAGTCAATTCAACAGTGTTTGAGCCTAGTTGTCTGGACCGTGATGACAACTGAGGACCACAGTTCTTTGTAAAATGGCCTGACTCTTTGTTATCAGTCTAGTAACATAAGTCATAATCTAGAGGACTACTGGGAGAAATATAAAGACGAAAAAAACTTGAAAAACACAAGCCTGCCATCCGCCATTTAGGATGCCTGTAAACTATTAGTTTTTACTGTCTTTTCAATATCGAGTTGACAAACTAAACATTGGCTATAAGATAGTTCAGCAATTTTAGAGCAGTTATTACTCTATACTACCGTATAAATAATCATTTAAAAAAATCTGAATCATTTTCTCTATTTTGTGAGTCATGGAGCATAGAGGTTTTAAATAATGAGCTATAAGGAGAAGTAAGTGGCTGGCCATAGGCTCTCCATGAGTTCATGTTTAATGTTGGATTTATATCCTCTTATGTCAATTTTACCTCTTTAATTTAGATGTATAACATTGCTTATTAAATCAATTGCCACAGATAATTTGACTTAGATCAGTTTTATGGAATTCATTTAAATTACAGACTTTAACAAGGTGCTCTTGATCTTCGACAGTAGGTCAGGAAGTGCTATGTAGCTTAACAATTTTAATATTGGCTACTTAACAGGTAATTCTGTCAACTTTTCCCTTGCTTTGGGTTAATTTTGGTTCTGCTTAATGGTTGGCTTACCAGATCAGAAAACCAACTAGTTTTTCCATAGAAAATGGAAATTTTTACTCAGTTAAATGATTAGATTGTCAGAAACTTGTGCTTGTGAGAGTACACCCTCTTGCCATCCTTTTTGTGAAATTTCATAAAGACAAAACACATTAAGATTATAGTCATTTGCAAAAAGCTTTTAGAAAGGCATCAAACAAAGCAATTACCTATGGACAATAAGACTTAAACCAACCATAGTTAAAGATCCGACAAGAGTTTATAACTGAAAAAGAAATTTCGCTATATCTGCGACATAGACCAATTTAACATAATACCCTACAACATGACTGATAAATATCACATTATAAATTTCTGTAACTCCCAATTCATTTTGGCACACAGTACATATATAAATACACACATAAACACATATACATATAACATGTCCATATAAATAATTCAAGTATAATGTCAAGAAAATTTAAATTTCTCGATTTGACAATGTTTCCCCTAACATTTTACATATTAAAATAAGTCTGGTTGTATGATCTGCTCATTTTTACTGGGTAGATGTTGATCCATAAATGATCTATTTTGAAAGTTATGTACATATTATCATATTTTAAGTATTTTTGAACATGTTTTTCTCACAAATAACAGATTTATTTACATGCATACAAGTAGATCTATTTAATTTATTTTGTTGTAGTGTAGTATTCAATTGTGTGACTAGTACAATTCATTTATGGATACATGTAGTGTGTACATTTAGTTTGATTCCAGTCTCTTGGTATTATAATAAATGCCTAAATGCACTAAAAATAAATAAATAAATAAATAAGTATGATTGGTTCTAACATCTCTGTTTTGGATGTTTCAAGGGCCCTCTGTAAAAGGGCCCTTTTTTTAAGATAAAATAATTTAGAATTTGATTTTGGAGGAACCTTGTCAAATATAGCAAAAGCTGGGACCAGCAGTTAGCATAATGGCTATGT